TGTAGTGATGATGTAATTGATAAGCTCATGCAGGAGTAGCTAAATGCTCCCTGGGCCTGCTACCTTGTCTGCCCACAGGTTGGCTGAGCTTTGTAAGACAGTCATCTTGGCAAGTGTTCCAGGAGACTGAATTGCTTTGGGGCCTGAGGGGACACAAATCTGAGGCTATCAGGCCTTGAGGAGGGGAAGTGCAGCTGTTAGTTGCTGCCAGATGCTGGGTGTGAGTTTGCCACCTGCTTCCCCTCCATGCAGAGGACAGAGACTCAGACCCTCTGTATTTCAGAGCTAGAGGCCATTGGGCATATATGTTTGCCTGGAGTGAGGACTGGGGGCCTCAGCGGGTGGCACTGTAGGGATCTGTGTCCTTCTCCAAAGTCCTACCATAGGCCTCACCTGAGCTCGCCACAAGAGCCACATCCAGGGGAATCTCAGGAGTACAGCTAAGGCTTGGGGACTTGGTCATTTTTCCTGTTTCAGCTCTCTCTGTCTCCTGCACCCACTCCCTTCAAATACTGCTACCTCTGTCACCTCATTTTGCAGCCTAGGGAAGTTTCACCTCCTGACCAAGAGAGACAGTGCTCTGGGGGATTTGCCAAACCACTTGTTTAGAAAGAACGTGCTTGTGTGGGGAAGGGAAGCAGCAAAGTGCAAAGCGACCAAGGAGTGAAGCTAGACAGCCAGTTCCAGTTGTTCTGGGAGGTTAGCCTGGGCCACATCGTGGGGTTGGGTTCATGCCTGGACAGGAGGAGACGGAGGTAACGTATGGTTTGATCATGTTTCCTCCCACACTCTAGAGGAACCAGTTTTGAAAGTTTCACCTTTTGCACTATTTATTTGTTTTAAACCAAAATACCAAAAAAAAAAAAAAAAAAAGGCCACCAAAACTCAAACACTTTCCTGGGGTTTCTAGAAGGGATCGAAATAAAACTGTCTCCTGTGTTTATCATTAGAAAGTGTGACGGTGGGAGGGTCTCCTGGCTCCCAAAGGGTGGGATGAGGGGGTGTGTCAGAGCTCCCTCCTGCCATTCTATGGCAGTGAAAAACCCCTTTTCCTGGGCCTCATTTTCAGGTCATGTTTAGTAGCTTGGCCCTGTCACCTAGGTCTAGTACTCTTTTTCTTTTTGAACACTCATTTCTAACATAACAGTACAAAGGAGTGATGAACAGTTTTTAAAAAGAAAGAACAGTAACTAATGAAAATCCAAAGCACCCTCTCTCACTGAGGGAGAGTTGGGTCCATATTACCCAAGGATAGAGGGAAGGCCACCAAATCAGCCCTGTCAGTCAGCTTGGGTTTCTTGCTCTGCACCTCTCTCGCTATGTGACCTTAGAAAAGTTACTGAAACTTTCTGATCTCTTCTTTAAAATGGGAATCATACATAACTCTCAAAGGAGTCAAAGAGATTAGATTTAAAAATATACCTGACAGCCCTGGCAGTGCTGCTGGCATAGGGTTGCCAGATAAAATACAGAATACCGACTTAAATTCTAATTTCAGATAAACAAATAATTTTTTCATATATGTCCAAATATTGCAAAAACTGGGTGTCCTGTATTTTTATTTGCTGAATCTGGCCCCTCACCCTGGCATGTTATAGATACTTGGTAAATGTTTCCCCCCTTTGATTTTCTTGTAAGTTCCTCTATAAAGGGCTTCAGACTCTGCCTCATTTAAATGTTGCTCCATTGTGGCTTGAAGGATGGGGAGATAAGAAAAGATGAGTGTAGCAAAATTGTCTGTAGTTTTATTCTTATTTCCGCAAGTAGAATAACATAAAAATAGTATAAAAATACTGAAGGCCACTATAGTGTCCTGCCTGATCACTAATTTGCTCTTTATGGAGCACTTAAATAAATTATGGTTCTCCCAAATAATGCATGTTTAATAGAAATTTAAATTATGTTTATGGTGAGTTTTTACTAATATAAAAAAGTCCTTATGGCATAGTTTTAAGTGAGAAAAGCAGGATAAAAAGTTAGCTACATTCTGATATCTACAACATTAAAATGCATAGAAAAAAATCTGGGAAGAAAATAACTCTGTGTCATTGGATTTTCTTCATCCCTGCATTTTATACCTTTCAATACTGTGCATATATTCTGTAATAAATTTCTTATTCTTAGAATTAAAGTAATTTTTAAAGTTCTCTCAAATTATTTTAAATTTCTAATTTTTCAATTTTTGTAAATTAAACGCTAGATGAATTAAACAAGTTGTGGGAAACATAACTTTAAACTTTTAAAAATGGACAAGACATAGAAATTCAGATTGTAACAAAATCATACAGTTGATCTTTTTTTTTTTTTTTTTTTTTTTTTTCCGTGTCCGGCAACGGATCGCAACCC